AAAGAAATGGGGGGAAATGAGAAGGGATTTAATTTCAAAGGATGGGGACGACAACGGCGACATCTAACGGAGGAATTTTATAACACATACATACAGGATATTTTTAAATAAAATTTCTACCTTACCAATTGATTGCTATTTTCATAAGCATTGCATCTGAAAAACAAAAGTTGCATCTGGTTACAGCAGAAGTGATACCGGAAGTTTCAATATGCGGTCTAATATATGATAATGTTACATATAAAATTGTATTTGACACATTTTTCGTGTCTCGCTAAATAAAAGAGGCGACCTCTTATCTGGAACGCACTGTATATTTCTTTTTGTTCGTTGTTCAAATTATGGCTAACATAGGTATAGTCAATATCGTTAACTCAACCGAAGGGTGCAGGTCAGGCGCATTATTGTCTATGCCTACTGAAAAATTATTAAATTTTTTACTATAAAGTGGATATTAAAATTGAGATTCATCATATCTTCATCGGCTGCATCTTTTTATCTTTCATCCTAAATCTGTTCAGATTCACCCCTATGGAGATGAGATGTCATTAAAGAAATATTCTTTATCTAAATTGACGATGTTATTAAAATGATTGTTTTCATAGCTTCCACTTTCGCATTTAGTAAAATAGTAATTCTAGAGGGGTTGGTAAAATCTAAATGACATTGTAACAAAGTCTTGTTCGTCGGTTAACCCGGACTGTAATTTGAATCATGATGTTGACATTAAGCCCTATAGTAATCCGTCACTGCACAACGCCAAATACTTTTTTTAACAACATAAAGAGAAGGGAGGCGAAAAGTGAGATAATGTTACGGATTGACACCGGTTTCAATTCCATTTAGATTATGCGGATCGCAGATTTCATCTTTTGAATTTTAAACCCGTGACGAAACGAATTTGATATAAATACATTTATTTCTCTCGGCTTAAGGCACGTTTAATTAAAAGTCAACTAAAGATATGCTTTGCAAAGTTTTAAACTCCAAAGCTTCCATCAATTTATTAAATCAATACACATTCTCCCTATAAAGCGCGACAGGAAACTGAAAGAGAAAAGATTAAAAAGATGAGTAACTTATCGAATCGAATGATTGTTCTCACCATCACAATCCCCTACAAGGCGCTTGTCAAATACAGACAACCCTGATTGAATGAGGGGTTTACTATTTCATGAAACAATCATGTACTGTTTACTTCATTGTGTAACGCATTTTTGCTCGCCCCCCATCGATATTTCACACATTTTTAAATAATTTTTAGCGTCGAATACAATATTCAGTTCCTTATACTCCACCCTTCCTTTAACACGCATTTTCGAATCCTTCTTCAGAAGAAGTCATTTTCCGATCACTATACAAAATTTGTGTTTTTTAAAATCGTATTATATTTTCGAATGATAAAATATTTTACTCCGCTCCTTTTTTAATTACATACGTGTAAAGAGGATTTGCACAATTCGAGTAATTAAAATCGGTTTGTTTTTCCTTGTAATTTGGTTGACTAAATTAATCAAAAATGCCGCGATCTATTCCAGAAAAAAAGCGCACACTTGGGGTTAGAACCTTCATCTTCATAACCTATATGTGACGACCTTGCCACTGGGCTATTATTAAATACCGGTTTATAAGGCGACACACTTATGCGTACAATTACCAATAATATTTACTCATTTTATTTACTTCGAAGCTAATAAATACGGTTTAAATGTTCCAAAGGCACATCGACGACTTGTACTGCCAAATTTCCTTTTAAATGAACAAATGCGCTTTAAACAATTGTGAGCCAGGCGTAATGCGTGACGACCACAGAATATAAAAGCTTACTCTATATTCTGTGGAGTTACGCATGCAATGATTTTACTCCCGTTCAAAACATATGGTGCACACCGAGCGGTAAGAGTTCATTCAAAAACCAGAGCACAAATAAAATTGTCCATTAAACGAATTGTTCTATCAATTAAAAGTTTAAAGAAAATCCTAATCAATTTCCTATACATACTTTTCTTATTTCGATACCCAAATACCTGGGAAAAATTAATGAGGTATCCCGAAATCGCCATGTAAGGGTATCAAATAATCGGTAACGCAGTGATTTTATTTGTAGACCCTTGTAATGGGCGTTCTAAAATTTGAGAGGTTCCATCCTGTCCATGCGACCTATGATTATGGACATATTTTTGAGAGCTGGCAACCACGCAACTTTTACCAAGAAGGGAAAAGCGGTCTGCGCTATCTCGAGAGCACCAACGTTTCTTACGTTTGGCATCTTGTTTTTAATGGCGGTTGAAAAAGTATCGCTCCGTAAACGTTTGTTGTTATTTTTAGTGCAGGTAGTAAAGCTTACATTCTTGATAATGTTCTGTATGCAGCATTTTATATTTTTGGTGAGTCAATCTTTGTTTTTTAAGTTGTCTTGATTTAACCTCAATGCAGAATCAAGTGTTTGATACCATTAACCTTTTGTTTGAAATCGTTTACGTTTTTAGTGTAAATGTCTCGATTACAGGGTAATGGTCTCGACCCAAGTTAAATTTATAAATTTTGATCATTCTTTTAAACATGTGGAAATTATCGAATTGTTTAACGCTTGATGTATGTTTCGATTCACTAATTTCTATAAGTTCCGTAGTTTTAAACGTTGAATTTGCCCTCCAAGACCTTGTAACTTTTCATGCAGTTTTTCACAAAGGTTTTCATTGCACCAAAGATGGGTATGTGCCACCTTGCTGATACCTTACTGCTAATCGATTCTTTTAGTTGACCCTTGACATGTAGTGACTGAATATTGGTTTGGTGGTGTGTGCAAACATGTCACCTCTCGAAGCCTACAGATGCTGTAGATTCTGTTTATGATTATTTAATTATTTATTTATTTATTGAAATAAATAAATTTGTAAATACTTTAGGAAAGAAATTGAAAAATGCCACAGGAGAGCACCGTTCAAAAACATTCTTTATTCAAAAAATTAGTCTGGCTATTCAGCGCGGCAATGCTGCCAGTGTTATGGGCACTTTTCCTTCTACAATCTCTTTAGACGAAATTTTCTTCCTCTCTTAAATCTTTAAACATTTTTTACTTTAAATTTAAATGTTTATAAATATTAGTGATTCGAATCAGGTTGTGCAAATGAAAATATAAAAATATATATATATATATAATAATCATAAACAGAATCTGTAGTCTCTATTTATGATTGTGTATGTGTATGTTGATCGTTGCTCTGTTAATGTTGTTCTTACAATTTTATGTTACGCATCCATATAATTACAAACAATTAATTTTGCTATCCAATTTAATGTTAATTTGTTGACTGGTTTTTTTTCTTTCTTGGTAAGTTTTTTTCCAGCCTATATGTATTTTTATTCGGTGAACCACCAAAGTTTATTCTCGCAATGTAATTTATTTCGACTAAATATTCGAGCTTTCACAATCTTCATAATCATTAATTTATCACAATAATTATTAAACAAACTTTTGTCATTTCAGTGTTTTATTTTGCGTTGCAAAACCTTAAGGGAATGCCTCCTTACCTTAGTTGTAAACAACGCTATGACCTGAAGTACGGTAGGGAAGGGACGCAAAATATAAAACACTGAAATGCCAAAAGTTTTATTGTTATGATTATGAAGATTGTGAAAGCTCGGAAATTCTGACATTCCGTCCAGACAGCAGTGTACGCGCACGAAAATAATTTTGATCCTTCTCGCAAGACCCCGTACTCATTTGAACATATTTGCACCTTTTGGGCGCGCAAATTTGCTGAAGTCAGTGCCCACCTCTAAATGTTTCATCATGTGCCACTTTTCGATTTCAAACTTAAAAGTTAAGTACACTACACATTTCTACGATATATGTCACCTGCTGCCGTCCAGTCTAAATTCGCATCCATTGAAACGGAAATCCCTTTTTATATCTCCATTTGTTTGAGCTCTTCCTTGTTCCCTATAAAAGAATAGATTTGAATTTTATCGGGGTCATTACCCGAGATTACTACCGACCAGAAACTTCTTCCTGTGTGTAGGTATTCCAGACCTGAAATTATCTCTGTGTGTACTCCAGACCCGGGGCTTCATCCATTTACTAGACCTTTTAATTTTTGTTTAGTTTTTATTTTCTTGCCCTTCATACTCGCCTGTCAATGTCTATCGCGTCAATTCTGGTAAGTATGTTAAATAAAATCTACGGACATTACGTTAAATAGAGCAGGGTTCGTGCTTAGATCAGTCGACCTGACCCAAACACAATTGTCATCGTCCTTAATGGTTGCTGAGGGATTCAACGGGGTTGTTTAAGTTTATAGGAAGAATCCTGTGTATACCAAGATAGCCCTGGCCGACCTTTAGAAACCATAGGACACCACAACACTCGATTCAAGGAAAACCGTGATACACTCTTGTGAAGAGGTACCTGAAATAAGATAGTGAAAGCGTCCGTGGCGTCCCAGTCTTCCAGGGTGTACATGTTCACTGTCGTAACTAATTATTTAATTACACTCAATGAGTCGCTACGAGACCAAAGCCTGGGATTAATTCCCGGCGTGTATACACCAAACCTCATCACTCTACGTCCAAAAACCAAGCGTGCAATAAAACCCGTGGATATATTAGCTTCTTCAACGACATTTTTACAGAGTTCCCTTTTTAAGCTCAAAGTTACTTGTATTGTAACAATAGTAACATTACAATGTATTTTGATTATAATTTGTATTGCAATCAAACATTCAAATTTGCACTTTTGATCACGCTCGAGGTACAAACGGTAACCACAGGACTAAAGAGCATCCTAATCACTGGAGTGTTGCCCTCAACTTTAATTCTGTCAGCAAACTGCACATTCGGAATTAACATACATTTGGTATAAAATACCGTTGCTTGTCTAAGCGCAATTTATAGCAACCCTTACGACGCATATTTATTTATTTATTTATTTTTTTATTTATTTATTATTCCGAAGACACGGTTGAGGTGTTTACCGTTCATTCACAGAAACGAAAGAACACGCAGTGCAATAAATTTATTCAGACTGTTACCTCCACTACAGTACTGCTTCATAAAAAGTTACTTCCTCTCAGTAGATGCAACAATTAAAACTTGCAGGGTCGCATTTTCCAATAAATGGAAGTGGGATGATGCAGGAGTTTTTACATGATCCGATCGGGATTGGTAATATACCCCAAAAACGGCAGGAATTGTCTACAAAAAAGCAATTCTTCTACATTTTAAACCATTACGAAATACTTTACTTGATGTTGATTTATCATCTTCACTATCCACGCCTAAAATCCACACAGATTTGCATAGTACACACAGCACTACAACCAAAAACTTCATTGCTATGGCGAAAAATTCCACAGAAATTGACATAAAACAAACTTCGTTTGTATATAATGCATCTAAGAAACGTTTTACTTATTTTTATACCTTCGATAAGAAACACGCGATCATAAAACTTGCACGGTGGACACGACCATAACTTATAACATGACGCTCACGTACTAGCGTATTACGAGTCATAAAGTCATAGACCTACCAAAGGCTGCCAGTAGCAATAGCATTAAAGGTATAGTCATTTCGGAAACGATAAAATTCCAAAACTTTTTGCAATGTGGGGCTAAATTCCTCTTGCAATGGAGTAGTACCCATATTTATAATGTGTTCTCTTCAAAAAAAAATGGTGAAGCTTTAGTCCCGCCATACTAGACACTTTATAGTTGTGTTTTTAACATGTTAGAGTATTAATAGTAAATACAAGAGATATATGGAGGCTTTAGCCTACTCATCCTATGTGTAAATTTGTATTTATTTTATTTGCCTTTATTTTTAAGTGAGTGGGGTTTCAGTCATGCTGCTACCAACCCAACCCACTATACATTTACAAATATCCATGCCCGAACCCGGATTCGAACCAGGGACCCTTAGCACCACAGTCTAGCATGGAACATAGGTTTTGAGAAAAGTTTACCCTGAAATTTATATCTGCTTGTCATGTTATCATGAAGTAGGTAAACAAATCGTGGCTGGTCGTCATCAGGGAAATTGTTTCAATAATTAAGTTCAAAACGTCCCAAATGAACAACAATTGCGGGCGCGCATTTTTAGAAAAATTCGAGGAGTGGACCTGAACATCGTCCAACAACGGAAGATAAAACAAATTGCGTGCTATTGAGGACCATGGCCAGCCATCAATTGTGTAGATTTGTTTTCATATTGTCAAAAGATTCAATTACCTACATACGTGTAACGAGGATTTGCATAGTGCAAGTAATTTAAAACGGTTTGTAATTCCTTGTAATTTGGTCGGCTAAATTAATCAAAAAATCTATTTGCCGCGATCTATTCTAGAAAAAAGGCGCACGCTTGGGGTTAGATCCTTCGTGTTCATAATCTATAGACCACCTTCGCTGAGCTACGAACGTGCTATTATTAAATACCGGCTTATAAAGCGACAAACTTATGCGTACAAGTAACAATAATCTTTACTTCGCAGCTAATACATACGGATTAAATGTGTATATTAGTCAATGCCAATGGCACATCGGCGACTTTAATGCCACATTTCCTTTTAAATGGACAAATGCGCTTTAACAATATTGAGCCAGCCGAGCTGGTCGAGCGTAATGAGTGACGACCACAGAATAAACGACCACACAATATCCCAAAAAGTAAAAATTACTTCCATAAGAAAGAACAAAGTTGATGATAGTTAACCGGAGACGAAACGTCGGATTTAAAATTTGAAACTAGCATCTTGTAGAGAGAAAAAAGTGGCCATAATAATGTGTTATTTATATCAAAATATATCTTTTTAAATAACTTCAGTAAAAAATAAAAACGATTTTGCAAAATTTCGGTGTTTTCCGGATATCTCCGAATTCGGAATTTTTGAAGTTTCAAAACTGCATTTTGTTAAGCATCAAAATACGCAACTTTGCCAAATTTAAACTACCTATCTATGTCTTACAGTTCCCGAGATCCCCATGGTGGTCCTCGAATTTGAATCAGCCTGTATATAATATGAATTCCGTATAGAACTTTGTTACAAGATGGTAACCATAAAACAATTCCCAAAAAACGTATATTATAAAATGTATTTGAAGTCGCATTTTACTACTTCACCAACTCCGTATTCATTTTAAGTGACTAAAAATTCACCCCAACGGCCCCAACGGGCTGAATATTTGCATATTTATTGCAGTATTTGAAAGTGTTTCTTAGAAAATTAAGATTATTAGTAGGTGTCTACCATAAACTATACCGAATTTGTGGAAATAAAACAAGTTCGTTTAATCTTCAAAGAAGCGGCAACGACTTTTTGCAAGGATTACCTTTTTGGTGTAGAGTTATTACGTAGGTACCTAAATGATTCACAAGCTTTCAATTGAAGCATTTGTTACAACCATGTAATTGCTCTATTTTCACTAAAGCATGCTTTACGTCGTCCTCGTGTATAGTCGAATGGTAATAATTCCAAAAATTGTAGGGGGATATGTTTCCGAATTGGTATAAAGACATACTATAATCTTTGAATATTCAAAGCTATATGAATAAACATCTTCTTCTGTTTAAACCCAATCAGATAGAAATAGAGCTATTCATTTTTGATACACACAACAATAGCGTTGAATAATTGATTATTTGATTAATCAATGCAAGAAATAATCGACTTGATTTTATTATTAAGTTAATTTTAATCGATTATTTATTAGCTCGATCATCGGTTTACCAAAAAGGAACAGCCATAGTATAATTCATTGTTATATGTTGTCACGATTCGCTTTTACGTACTTTTAATTCAGTCTCATTTTAAGGTGAGTTTCTGCGTATTTTTTAGGTAGATTTCTATCTACCTATCTACTGTAATGGTACCCGTTTACATCACTTCCAAGAAACACTCTAACTTTTGCAATTACGAGTATGAACCGATCTCGACCAAACTTTAAGGGTTGGTACGAAGTTGTCGTCATACCATTATTGATGTCAATTCTAGGAAGTCTGAAAGTTTATGTTTTGTTCGTGGTCTCTAATTTTATACTCTTTTTGCTTCGGACACTTTTCGCAAAATCGTCACTGTACGTTCGAAAATAAATACTCCATTTAAAGCTTTGCAATGAAATGGCAATGGACGAGGGTGCTCCCAACTCAAAAAAAGTACAGTTTCTTAAACAAATTTGCCGTGGTTTTAAAAGAAAGTGATTTAACATAAAAACTACTGCCACAATAAATTTATTCAAATCATTTTACCTCCACCCTTCGAAACTGAGTTTATTAACCAAATAATATAGAAATTGCTAGCAATAAAAAAACTATACAATCCTCGTTTGTAATTTATTTTGAGCCTAATTACAATTTAACTTGGGGGGGGGGGGGCTTAGCTTAATGTGAAACCAGCACCTCCAATTTCAATTGAACAGAGTAATGCATTCTACACTGCAGCAATAGATCAACAGTATGTACTAATACATTTTAAAAATTCGATTGAAAAGGGGGAGGAGGGGGGTAAGTTCATGGACATTTCATAACTTTCTTACCAGAAATACATCACACATCCTCAACTTTCGAAAGGAACTACCGCGAAGCCTAATCAGAGATCAACATTTATATTTAAAGTGGTCGCGAATATTTTCCTCGCAATTTGGGATATGAACAATCCCGAGAATTGTTAGAAGCATTTGAGCTTGGTAAAAAGAGGAAGGCTCTTTCTCTCCTTCCGCGCGGCCTCCTTTCTTCAATCATAAGATTCATCATATCAAGATATCCTTCTCTTCTGGATCCTTGAAGCTTCCACCCTCCAAGAAAAGTCAAAAGCCTAATATTCTCTTGAATTCTGTTTTGCTTATTGATTGGCTAATGGGTCCAAATTTCATAGTAGTGTGCTTTGAACACACATAGGTGCTTTGTCGGGTAAGAAATAAAATGAAAACTTGTAAGCGTATAAAAACTCACGAAAAAATTTCTAAAACACCTTTTTAGGATCTTTTTACACCCTTGGAATTCGCATTATTTGGCCTGATCGTCCAGCGACTGTACAGTACGCTTACATGCTTCCCGGCTAGTCTGCAGAAGGGGCTAAAGTCGCTGCTCTTACATTTGTTGCCCCTCTTTAGAGCCTCCATGACCTTAGGGTGTATCGCCGTAAGCTGGAAAAAGGTAAGAGTTGTGTACATACCTAAGCCGGCTCGTCCCAAGTATGCCATGGCGCACGATTACCGGCCCATCATCCTATCATCGTTTTTCTTAAAAACGGTGGATGCATACATAAGGAATGTGTGAAGGCTGGAGAAGAGTATGTCTGGATGTCATAACTGGAAAATGTCCAAACACCGTGAAAGAAGTCATGCCAGGAGCTCTTGAACAGGTGGATAGGTAATGCAGTAGCATTGGCCTCTCCGTTAACTCCGAAAAGACGGAGATTGTTCCATTTACCAATATAAGAAGAGCGAACCTTGATGTGCTCACTCTTCGAGGACGTCGACTGGGTCTGACCAAGTCAGTGAAATATTTGAGTTATCATAGATTGACCTGGAAAGGGCACATTGACCGAATAATCAAAAAGGTCACTGCATGCCTATGGGCATGTAGGAGGGCCTTTACATATACATGGGGCTTGAACCCTCGACTGGAATATTAATTGCCTTTTCACTGCAGTAATAAGAACCATAACACTGTATTGTGCACTTGTATCATGGTGTGCCATGCCCAGGGCAACCTACAGGAAGCAGCTAGGTAAGGTACAGACTCTCGCCTGTCTGGGAGTCACTGGAGCCATGAAAATCATGCCAACTTTGGCCATGAAGGCACTTCTGAGACTAGGCAGAGGAGGTAGAGGGTTGGAATGCTTCCATACGGCTAAATAATTGAGGATGAGTGGAAGAACCGATGCAGCCTTCGGTACGAGTGAATCTGGAAGGAAACCCTCAGATCCGAACCACTCCTCGCAAGAAGGGATGTTATCCGGGCTGTCTTACTAAAACAGAAGGCCACTCTCCCGGACAGGGAGCAGATTGCCCGTTTCTCAAAACGGAGGGGCTCTTGTGGTTTACAGAAGGGTCCTTAACGGAAAGGGGAATGGGCGTTGGTAGATATGTTGATAGACCGAGAGCTGACATCAGTTTCTCCCTTGGTCACCATAGCACCGTGCTTCATGCAGATAAGTTGGTGATCATGACCTGCGCACAGGCGGCGCTGAGAGCTCTGTCGTGAAACCGATCGCTTACGGCGCTTGATTGCAGGCGAACTCTAGATAGATTAGGTCTGACATGGTAAGCTTGATATGAGTGTCAGTGCACTTCGGAATAGGGGACAACGAAAGACCGGATGAGCCGGCTTGCGAAGGTAGTGGTGGATTCTTTTGATTCCTTTGAGAACCATTATTATTACGCCATAATTCATAAGCAATTATTTGTTTTCGTTAATGCAACTTGCCTGAATGTAAATTGTTGGTGTGCTCTGCTAATTTTTGTCTTCCATATCAAGATTCTCAACGGCGAAAAGTGTTACAACATATCTATACAAACATAAAAAAAATGATAATTTCCACAAATTTAGACGAATGACCAAATATATAAATTTAACTTCGGACCAAGACCATGTAATCAAAACATAACCATAAATTGAGCATTGACCATTTACACCAAAAATGATAACGATTTCAAACAATAAAAGTTAACGTCATTTTTCTTACTTGTGATTCAGTATTGAAGATAATACATGTCAATTTCAAAAACAAGGAATGAAAATTATTTAAAAAAATATATAAAAAATGTTGTATACAAAACACAAATAAATTATAAAGAAAAGCAGATATTACTACCTCATTAAGCAGCGCAAATAGATAAACTACATACTACACGATCCTCGCTCGACGACAACTCAAACTGAAACCTATGACCGTAGCTTATGAAGCGTTCGTGTTCTCGAGACTGCGCAGACGTAGTTCAGTTGCCAGCTCTCAAAAATGTGTGCACAGTTGTAGGTTATATAGACACCGTGGAACCTTGGCGCAGTGGGTGCGTTGCCGACTGCTATTCTGGAAGTTGTGGGTTCGAATCCCGCTGCCGACTGCTCTGTCTGGGATTTTGTCAGAGGGTTTTCCTCAGACGTACGTAGCATCGCATAATGCTAGCATTATGTTGAAATCTACGGGGCGGATGCTGGAGCAGTACTCTTCCCTCTCAGCAGCCTAACTCCGTTCCCATCCTTACTTTACCGTTCTCTGGCTGAAGAGGGTCAGAAAACCCTGAGCAGCCCTCCTCCGGTACCGTTATTCTTTTTCTTTTTTCCTCTCCAGTATGAAGCAATAATTGCACAATAACAACTGCTTCAGCGCCATTTTTACAAAGTTGTCTTGTTAAACTGACAGTTATTTTATCTTATTTGTATTGTAAAAATATTAACATTACAAGGTATCTTGATTGTAGAAAGAAACAAAATTCTTTCTTTCAAATTTGCCCTTTAGCATTTAAATTTCTGTTGGTTATCCTAATGCCTCGGGTGGTTCTTACCCTCAACTAGTTTGGGTCAGTAAACTGCGCATTAGGAATTAAGACATATGGTACAAAATACCGTTGCTTCTCTAATCGCCGCATTGTATAACAACCAATATCACATAATAACGGGTGATCAAAAATGAGTTGCTGTCGAGTCGCCTTTGGAAGTTCAAGTTAAATACGAATTCCCATGTAAACAAAAATTCCAAAGGTAACTCGACAGCAACTCATATTTGATCGCATTGTATAGTTATCAAAACACAGTAATAATGCAACGAAAAGCTGAGCGCCGCCAATTCCAATCTCGATGGGGTGTTTAACTGTTTACCTTTTAGTCATAAAAAGAAAAGAACGCACAGTGGAATAAATTTATTCAGGTTGTAACCAGCTGCTTAGCTTACTCCGCTTAGTAGATACAACAATTAAGTCCTTTAGTCTTGCATGTTCCAATAAGTGGAAGTCGGATTAAGCTGCAGTCGTGTTTACATGACAAGATAGGGATTGTAAACCTACCCAAAAAATAGCACGAATTGTCTACAAAAAAGCAATTCTTCTACATTTGAAACCTTCGAAAAGTACTTTACCTGGTTTTTCAGTTGATGTCGCTAAAAAGAAATTTTTTTAATTTGAAAACCTTCACGAAATACATTACCTGCTTTTGAGGTACTTGATGTTGAAGTCCTTGGTGTTGTAGTAGTTGTAGGGCCATTACTTGGTGTTGGAGTATTTTCAGTGCTACCTGATGTTGAAGTCCTTGGTGTTGTAGTAGTTGTAGGGTCATTACTTGGTGTTGGAGCATTTTCAGTGCTACTTGATGTTGAACTATTTGGTGAGTTATCACTTGTAGAGTTATCATCATCGCCTAAAATCCACACTAACTTGCATAACACAAACAGCAATACAATCAAACACTTCATTGCTATTGCAAAAAAAATTACACATAAAGTGATACAAAACAAACTTCCGTCGTATATAAAAAATACCTCTCAGAAACGTTTTATTAATATTTATACCTTTGATAAGAAACACGCGATCATAAAAAGCGCACGATGGACACGACATATAACATGATGCTCAGCTCACGTATTACGTGTCATTACCAACGTCGTTAGGGATGACAGTAGCAATAGCATTAAATGTAGCCATTACGCGAATAGAACGGAAAAGGTGAGCTTATGAAATTCCAAAATGTTTTGCAACGTGCAGCTTAAGCTACAGAAAAATTCCGCCTGAAATTGAGTAGTACCCATATTTATAATTTTCCGTGCTTTTTTCAAAATTTGTTAAGAATTTAAAAAAAATGTGTCGTCATAATCTCATAAAGCGTATCGTTTTTTGAGGAGAGAGCCAGTAATGCACTCTGTTACTATTACAAGACACGCCATACTCTGTTTCACGAAAAAAGTGTTTTTTTTATATAGTTTTTTTACTGCACATACCAATAAGCATCGATCACAATTTATTACCAATCGCACCGTTTTTGTCTGCTTTTTTGGGATATTTATATGGCTGTATAAGTTTCGTCAAGTCTTGTCAGTTTACTTTCGACACTTCCCTGACGCCTTTGAGGATATAGGTTACAAGGCCGTTATCGGTTTGTAACAAAAATTACGCATTACCCTTGACCGAGTCCTTGACTTTGAATACTCATTTTTGTTTGTACCTGGAGATTCCTATAACTGCAAGTATTTACGAAACATTGGAGATTATTACTCCGTTATACCTGATGCTACGTACTTTTTTTTGTCGTTACCGAAGATTTGACCTTACCGATATCGCGACCCGATCTGATCTACATTACTACGAGAATTTATTTTTGTTAGTTTGATTACATTGTATTCCTTCAGATTAGCTGTGTTACTTGATGTATTAGCTACCGTTGTTTTGTAATTTAGTCTTTAAAGTTACCGAGACTTTGTCCGAAGCCGATATCTACAATTTGTAGATACATTATTATTTGTTTTACTCCGAAGGATTCGCTCTTATTATCTGTTTACATTTTGAATTAATTAGATTATTTAGTTATTTGTGCATCGTAAAAGTATTTTCTTAAAATGATTTCAAATAAATCGACAATCACTTGATTATTAATGAGATCAGCAGAAGAAAATGTATTGAATTCTTTCCTATTCTTCGTCCATTTTTATCTGAGTTAGTCTAGAAGGTAAGTCCCATTCCACATACAACAACACAAGAAAACGAACGAACTTGTAAGCAGACCTGAAAATATTATCACACTTTTGTAAAGCCAACTATTACAGAACCAAGACCTTATTAGGGACACCATTAAAACTTTTGAGATGCACTCTGCATTTATATTTCAAAAATTGTCCCGAATATTTTGCTTTGCATGTTGCAATATAAAAAATTCTATTAACTTTGCAATTAATTCATTAGGAATTAGACAAAACCTTATCGCAACTTTTTGATCCAATTTTAATTTGTACTCATCTGGAAAATCGGTTTCCTTGAATTGAAACGCAGGGGCCAGTTCGCCAGTTCAGTTCCTCCGGTTTTTTTAAGGTACAAATTCCACTGGTACCTACTTGAACGAGTTGTGCTCGATTGTTACGTTTACTTTGGGCGAAAGTAACAAAATTACCTTGAGATACACGGTAAGCTCAGGTAAAATAGAAGTGGGTCGGAGTGAATATCGGGGATCTTATATACACGAAAAAAAGGAAAAAATAATAAATCGGATAGGCGCCACTTAGTCTTTAGTAAATTTCAAAAGAGAGGAGAGAATACTTACCAAAAGAGAGAAACAAGACAGACTAAGAGATCCTTGTTCAGACTTGACAAGCTAAAGAAACAAAATACTTGATAGGGATAGAACATAAACCATAATTGACGTTAAAATCGAGGGTAATATTAATATTATATAGATCTGCAATGTAAATATTTAAATTTAAATTAATTTTTAGTAAACAGGGCGATCAACACTTAGTCAGAGAAAGTATTACTATCAAAACAGGCTTCCGCGGAAAACAACGTGGCTATAATCGTTAAATGAATCTCAAACAATGGTAGTAATTACAATTCGAGTGTATCGAAAACGAATATGTAATCATGTTATATCACGGAGTCTACAAAAATAAAATAATTTACCTTTGAACTTCGGGTCGCAACCTTGTGAGCTCAAAAGGGCGCGTTCATCATAATCTGTAACAGATAACATAAACAAACAAGACGGGTGGTGAATAGCGGGGCACATAAAATATTGCGTAAGCAATGCTAACGTCTGACACTGAGGCAACTGTATACTAAAACTAATACTCAACAAGAATCAGTAATTCGAATGACTTTACACTAGCAAAAGTAAACTTTTGACTCGACCACAGACTATCTCTACAACATCTGTATAAAAGCATAAACGTGACGTTAAATTCAAGAAAAAGAGATTCTTTTATGGCGTTGGTGTTTCCTTAAATACTGGAGACCAGACAACTGGTAAACGAGGCTGCTGCTGCTAGTTTTTACAACGGTTGAAAACCGTGTGCATTTTTTTACGCTAAACTACGGGCAGTTAGTCCGATTTGTTTTGTTGAAAACGCAATTCGTCATTTTTTATAATAAATTTGTGCAGAAGCACTTTTTGTAAAAAGTTGTGTCAAGTTGAAGAAGGAAGCAGTGTAGTAGAGCCAGGCTTTTATTAAGTTTCTTTTCTTATTAAAAGTTTCTACCGTCCGAACAACCACCGAAAATTTGTTCATTTTATTCTTCAGGCCAGTTTTGTTTGTCATCTAATTCTGTGTTATAAAACAAAGAAACTTCAGAAGTTCTCAGCGCTTTTGTAAGTATGAGTTGTATGACCAGGTTATTTGAATTATTAAAGAAAAACTAAATAATTTTATGATTGATTATTTTATTTGTCAACCGCCAAGCTTTAACTTCTTTCCGGGATTTTGTCTTAATTTTGTTCGTTGTTCTAATAAATGTTAGTCATTGTCAATGAAATAATTATGTATTTATTCAAATCCAAAGTGCGATCCAGATAGAGTTTTCAGGTCTGATTTGTTCTTTTCGTGCTCAAGAATTATGTTAGGTGGTAATCAAAATTTGTGTAAGAAGTTGATCGAGGCCACAAAATCTCTCAAACTGAGAAATTTTAAGTCAGTATTAGGATTCTTCTTCTAGCAGATGACGGATTTACACGAGGAGAGATTATAAAATTTTAAGTCTCAAGTTTGATTTGTTTTGAACTAGTTGGACAGGTGTTTTGTGGGTGGTGTAGTGACATATCATTGGACACAGCAATATTCGGTTGTCTTTTCATTAAAATTTTGATTTGAATATTTGGTCTGATTAGAATTCCTGATTGTCCCTCAGTTGTTCGAATGAGGCGGTGGATGACACATTTCTGAAAAGTAACTGGTGTTTTAGATAATAATAGTATAAACTGAATTCGAAAGTTCGCTTGGGTTATAGAGTGATCACGCTGAAGGATGGGCGGACGGACGCACAAACAACGAAACTAATAGTTTAAAAAAACCGTACAATTGTATTGCAGTTTAATTAAGATTGAGTTTTCAATAGAAATGCTTATATTCTTGTCAAATATGTATGTATACTGATTGTTTATAATAAACTGATGTTTTTGTTAATTTAAAGGTGTCGAAATTTAATGTGCAGTACATTAGCCAGCCAAGCGTAAAGCAAAGGTTTTTTTTAAGTAAGAAAAAGAAAGAAAAAAAATATGCTTCCGAATGACGTGTATCACTATAACATGGCCTATATGTTGCCATTTAAAAAAATTCAAAATGGCGGTCGCATTCAAAAACCATGCCAAAATATATGAAATAATTCAAATTTTCATGGCTCTATCTCCAATGCGCTTTGGTTCCATCTTTATCAGCCAGCCTGTATATATTCCTGCCTGAATAATCCTAAAGCGTAGTATTTAAATTACTTACGTTCCTGACCTACTTACTGATTTTGCATGATATTAAACTTCGTCCACAAATTTCTAGACACGCTCTCATTTGCTGATTAATTTTATCAGTAACAAAAATAATCAAGTGTACAGAATTGTAATCTTATACAGGATGATATCATCTGTAATCGAGCGCTTGTGAACAATAGATTCATTGTAGATTCATTAATTCGCAAAAAAAATTGTAATTTTTTTTACCGACAATCTAATTAATCATTGGCCCACGCGTGAAAAGTATATCTCTTCTTTCTCTTCAATTAGTAATGGCCATGGGTATCATTCTTATTTATTTACATCATTTTCTCTCACTTCTCATACAAACCCTGCTAATTTAGTTGTTTTGATTTGTTTGTTATTGATCTGATCGCATTTTTTCCCCTCAGAGAGTTTTTTTAAAAGGGGATCATACATACACATTCAAATAACCGAAATATATAATTGTGCAGTTTTGTGTTGCACTGTTGCTTCTTATTTTCGCGTAAACTATTGGTTCAAACAATTTTTGTTTGGTGGTGGGTTTGAATTCAGGAATGGGTGGTACCACCCTTGAATGCACTCCACTCGCTTAACAATAAAGGAAATTACAAATAAATATAGACAATAAAATAGTATATTAAGATACAAGTGTATAATCAAGTCTTTAAAGCACGCGCAACGAGTTTAATGGCACGACGCGAAGCGGAGTGCCTTTAACGTTGCAAGTGCTTTAAAGACCAATTATACATTTGAAAATAGGAAATACAATGAAATCATATTGACGTTATACTCGAATACATGTCTAATTAAGTGGGCTGGTTGTTCGTAATTTCACGATTGCCATGGAAATCTCACTTGACGTTTGCGTATAAAAATCATCGTTTTTGTGAACAAAACGATTTCCGTTGAAACCGTTCATTAAATCGCTTGTTGTAAAATCTAAACAAACGTTGGTAGGTGTAAAATCCAAGTCTAGATCCAAATCCATTAAACCTATTATAAAGAATATGAAAAGTTATTTCCATGGATGAATAGGAAGTTACTTACGAATAAAGTCTTAAATGCATCGATAA